AGGTCTTCCCAACTCCAGGATTAATGTACAGATCGCTGGGGACTGGGGATATTAAATGACACTCTCAACCCAGGGCAGTCTGGCTTCTGTCCTCAACCCTCCACACAAACTGCTCTTCTCCACAGATCCCTTCTGGCTGCTGCCAGGGGCCCCTCCTCAGGCTCCTCCTGCTTGATCTCTTGGGATGGGGTTTCTCAGGGGTCGCTCCCTCCCCTTGGAAAGACTTGCCTCCCTCCTGCATCTACTTTGTGCCCTCTCGTGCCCTCATAGGATTCTGATTCTCCTCTCACTCCCTGATGCTGGTGTTCTCAAGGTCAATCTACTCTTGCCTTCCCTACAAACTGTTCTAAAATATAAGTTGATTATGTTGCTGCTCTGACATCCTCTGGTGGCCCCTTCACCAACCCATCCACACAGTGGCCTCCAAGCTCTACTCACTAGTTCCTACCCAGACCTGCTGCGTCTCTGCCCCATCTCCCACCTGGCTTGCCCCACTCGGGCAACCTGGCCTCCAGCATTCCTGGAGTCCCTCCAGGCAAACTCTAATCTCTTTCAGTCCCTGTCATCTCCTCAGTGAGACCACCTCTGAGTGCCTTATTGAAGATTGCATTTTCTACCCTACCCCACTGGCCTTCCCTGCTCCCTTCCCAGTGGTAATTTTATCCATAGTCTCCTTAACCATCCTGCAGACTAAATATTGCATGTATTTAACTCATGGCCTGCCTCTCCCATCAGGGAGGATGTTCAGGATTTTCCCTTTGTTCCCTGCTGTACCCAGAGTAGTTCCCAGCCCCCAGGGTAGTTCTCAGCCCATAGTCAACACTCAATAAATGTACTGAATAAACAAATACGTAAACTCCCACCTTGTCCCTAAACCTAGAGTGAGTATCCCTTTTGCAGTGGCTGGCACCACCCACTTGGTTACCAAAGTAACCAAGGTTAGCACCGTTCTGGGCAAAGGCAGCAGTGTCCTGAGAGGCTCCCACCCCAAGGCGACCCCGCCCTCCATTCTCCAGCTTTAGAAACTGAACCTAATCCTATCATTTTCTTCTTAAACTCACAGGGGCCTCCCATTGCTGGACAAGGTCCAGGAGCCCCTTCCCAGTCTGCCTGCCTCTCCCCTCCCCATAGGAAACTTACCTGTCCTCCAACCCTCCATACTTTCTCTGAGACTTCAGGGACACCCTTCCCTTGTCCCTGAAGTCTGGTTGTCTCCTTCTCATCCAACAGGGTCCTGTGTCCCCTCACGCTAGCTTGTACCTGGGCCAAGCTGGGTGTCCCGGGAGGCACTGCTGTGCAAGATGGATCCCAAGGCTCAGGGCTCCGTGCGTATCCAGTGTAGCATGATAATAGCAGCTGCCTCAAGGGTGGTTGGAAGCTCTAAGAGAGCTGGCGCATCGCATCGTGGGTGCTTAAACATGGTTTCTCTCCTCCCCTCTGCTACTTCTCACTGCCCTTTCCGCCCTGCTTTGTAAGTGCCTTTCCTGCCTGAGTGTGAGCTCCTGCCGGGCAGGGACTATCTTAATTTTCTTTCCCCTACAACACCTAGAGCAGTGTTTTTCAACCTTTTATATCTCAGGACACATTTGGATCCTTGGATCCGTAGTTAATATTCCAGGGCACACTTAAATTATGTTGACCAAAAAAAGAGTAAACAAACAAAAAAAGAATATACTTACTGTGCTCTGAACTGCTTTTGCAAATAATTTAATGATCTTTAAAAAATTTCGTGGCAGATCCTCTCACAGCACACTAGCGTGCTGTGGCACACCTGTAGAAAATCACTGGCCTGGATCCAGAGCCTTGGTTTTTTCTTTCTTAAACCAATAAATGAGCTGAGTAAGTTTATTAACAAGATGGCCACCAGAGGGCAGCCTCACACACAGAATGGAGTCAACCCAACTCAAAGTTCCCACAGATGAGCTTAGATCTGATCAAGAGAACTAGTGACCAAACTGCAGCCCTGAAGGATCCATAAAAGCTGATGTGCTGGGCTTGGTGGGCACTTCCATGACTCCCTCAGGCTCAGCCGGGTGGGATTAGGTGTGCCCCTTGGCACATCCCTGTTTATGGGCCCTCGTGCATGCTGATGGGGTACTGACTCCAAATAAGCTGCTTATTAAATCTCTCAGTTTCCATTTCCGG